TCAGTCTTGTTTTGTTTACCTTTCTGCTGGTATTGAAGTGTCACCTGTTCAGTTAGTTCCTGTTTTATTTTGATACTTCTTTGTGCCGTGTGCAGATTCAGTTCACCTGTGTTCCCCAGGTGTCTCCACTTTCGCTCTTGTGAATTTAAACCCTTTGTTTGTCGTGTTGTTCCTTATGTTCCTGCTGTCTAACCTCAGTTTCATGTTTATTCTCTTCTTCATAAGTTCCCAGTAACAAAGCTGAAGCTTCCACATCTCGTCTCCTTCGTCCTGCACTCTGTCTGGACATGGTTAAAGAGGGAGGGCATTTCTACGAGCAGCAGATTCAAACCTGGCTTACAGCTGGGCGTGGGGCCTGGAAACAGGATCACGTCCCACCGACATAAAACTCATTGAAAACTCCGATGGGATGACTTTGAGTCTCAGTTAAAAGTCAAACATCTAACACCCTAAAGCCCCCAGCTGTTCCCCACCCACAAACATCTGGAGGACACACTGATACCATGGTGGGGGGAGTGTCAGAGGACTTCAGCCGACTGTAACCACAGGTAGCTCCACCCGTCGGACGCCCTCTGCTCGTGCAGGCACGACGCTCTCACTGCAGGTAAAAATGAAGACACAGAGACCTGCGACACTCGGGAGCTTTAATGGTTCATCATTTACAGGCGTGTACAGAAGCAACACAGCAGCACAGGAAGTTCAGTCAGCCACGGCCAATCAGCTGAGAGCGCCGCCTGTTCAGTCCACCCTCAGTCAGATCACATGACTCACTGATGCTCTATAGTCACGTGACCTCAAAGCTCATCAGAGGGGAGGACCTTCAGACGGAGCGTTCACGCTGTGACATCGAAAACGAGACAACACAAAGAGAGGCGAATGCGTTTTATTCACCCGATCCTGCTGGCAGGAAGTATGGCGAGAACTCAGACGGACGCCAGAGGAATCGCAGCGCGAATGAGGCGGGAGTCGCACGATTTCGCTTCTTGTTCACTTTGAGCCAAACTGTAGATCCATCACACAGCTGAGAGAGCGCCATGGTTGCCTGTGCAGTTTGGCGCCAAAGTAAAGGAGAAACAAGTT